GCAGTTATATGGTTCACAGTCATCATCTCTGACACACCAGAATGCTTGTATCTACTAGATTATAGATTGCATTCTGATGTAAAATTGTTTAACTGCCAACATTTATCTACTTTCTGAAAACAGATTTCTGAATCACAGGGCGCTAAGAGAATTGTGTGTAGTGTGGGCAGCTGTTTGTCAGAGCAGCCAAGGAGAGAAGTGAGATCTCCCGCTGGCCCTTCCAGGCTTGATGATTAATCTGTGGTAGACACAGCACTTGCATTGGATTGCACACAAGTTGGCATGCAGTCCAGAGAAGTTTTGAACAGATTGTCCCCAGGTCATTCGTGTTCTCAAGTAAGAATTCAACTGAATGTCTTTTGCTAACAAGTAAGAAACGTGATGGGAGCTAAGTTCCTCAAGGTTATAGAGAGATCTGTAGTTATTCCTAGTCCTGCCACCACATCTCAAACAGCCTTGTGTGAAGGCTTCATTTTTCACTGAGGTAGCTTGGAAGTCTTATCTGTGAGAACACCTAAGAAAACCTTCCATTCTGGTGAATTCTGGAGAATTCTGGGTTTGCAAAGAGTATCTGCAGTGTGTTGGGAGGTCTGCTTTCCAACTGAACTCCCACAGCATTTCCTGGAGTTCTGAGCCTTATTTGAAAATAGCACAAGTCAAAGACAGAAGTGTAGACACAGTTTCTTTTTTAAGTGCTAAGCAATATAAGAAATAAAATGTGGGAGGAGAAGCTATAAAGCACTTTGGAAATGAAATATTTAAATCTTGGTGCGATGGAAATATTTAGATTAGAAGACACATAGATGTAGTTCAGATGAGACCTGGAGCAGCAATGCATAAGGCTAGATAAATAAATACAGATGAACGAGATAGCATCACTTAGTGGTGGCACCTGCAGATTCCGAACTCAGACAGACTTGACTTGGAACCCCACTCCTGTCTTTCATTAGATGTTTGGTCTCAGGAACGTTACTGAAGACCTTTTTACCCAGGGTTTCTCATTTATTAAAATAAGAGACTAACAAACCTATCTCATAGATGCTTATAAAGCTTTTCAATGAAATGATGTATGTACACCCTAGGTATGAAGCCTGGAACAGATTAAGTGCTCAATAAATGCTGGTGAAAGTTATATTGAAACAAACTAGTCAGAGCCTGTAGGAAGGTTTCTTCCAGTTGGTCCTGGTTCCCATACGGTAAGCTCGGACCCAAGTGCTGCCGAGACCACTCTCCACAGGCTTTATGATCTCCTGCCTTTGTGGGTTTGTGTTGGAACGTTTTAGAAGTTCTGTCTAGGGATGCTTTAGTGAAAGGCGGAATCAAGTGCATCTAAAAAGGGAAAAGAAAGCACTTCATTGGATTCCTCTCCCGACTACCGCATCCGTTCCTTCAGTAGTTCTTCGGCTTCACCATCTCTAGCACACTGACCATTCCCTGCTCTTTCAATCCTCCTGACTTTTTGTTTCCATTTCTTTTGCCACCTAGGGAAGACCTATGGATCCCTACTTCAAGTGGTTTCTTCTGGTATCTTTTAGGTTTTCTAATCCTCTTCTACAATTTTCTGCCCAGTGAAATCCAGATGAATGTCTTCAAGTCTAGCGGAAGACAGAAGCTGAGGAATATGGGGGAATAATTAAGATGGAAGCCAGATCAGAAGTAGAAAGTCCTCCTAATCTTAGGCAAGAAATGAGGAGTGCCTAAACTACAACAGTGGGACATAAAGCACAAAGATTGGCATTTAAGGACATCAAGAGGGTGGAATTTTAAGAGTGTCTGGCTTTTGCAGGAAGACAGTGGCCAGCCATTCACCAAGGGCAGTGACAGAGAAAGGGTATACTCTGGTAAAAAAGATAGAATTTAGTGTAAGAAATGAGAGTAAATGTACAAAACATCACTTGATTCTGAACATACAAATCATCTGTTTCAAATTAATTGTTAGTTATGCATAAACAGTGATAGTCTGGATTCAAGAATAGGCTTGAAAAGTGAAGAAAGAAATAGTCTTTCTTTCCAAAACTCCACCTCCTTCACAGTGTCTTATTTAGCTTCACCCCTAATTTCCTGAACAAGAAGTCAACTCTCTCTTCTCCTCTAGACTCCCATTTATCAGTTAGAGATCTTACCACTCTCATTTCTGGTTTGGTTGTTTAGAAGACTATGATCTCCCAAAGTAGGTTGTAAGTGATGGGAAAGCAAGGTCCACATCAGATTTCCCTCAGTTTCCTTATTACAGTACATCTAATGCAACACCTAGTATCACTAGCATCTATTACTTTTTGAAGAGTTGTGTGTTTATGAGTGTTCAAGGAACTGCTATGTTTAATATTCCAGTTTTATACAGTGTCTTATGACAATACTTCCTCAGCTAATAAACTAATTTTAAAAGTGCTTTATACTTAGATTACATGTGAACCTTAAAACAAATTAAATCTTATAATTACACAATTTAATGCTTGAAATGTATACTCATTACAAATAAATCAGTGAATTTGATATTGTATTATTAACTGTTAAAGTAGCTTTTTAATCTTAGTTTTTGATTCTCAAATCCTACACAGTAAGAAATAAATTGATCCATGTTGTTGCATATATTGATTATTCTTTCATTGTTACTGTTCAATAGTATTCTACTATGTGGATATACCACAATGTTTATATTTTCTTGTTGATCAATATTTGGGTTTCTTTTCAGTTTTGAGATATTAAAATGAAGCTACTATGAATATTAATATACCCAAAAAAAGATTTGAAGTCCATACAAAGCCCCCAAATAGAGCTTTTCAGGAGTCCAGGAGAGAGTTGTAGGGTACACAGGTGACTTGGGAGTCGTCAGCATGGAAGCAGTAACTGGAGCCAGATGTTTAATTAACCTCCAAAGGGAGAATGTGTTGAGAAGGAAAAGGAGAGACCCAAGGATCAGAAAAGAAAAATCCAATAAGAAAATGTGTCAAGATACCAAGGGGAAAAAAAGAATCAAAAACTGAGTAACAATCAGAAACAAATGCTACCGAGAGGTCAAAAAAGATAAGTAGAGAAAATGTCTTCGGGACTAACTGTTGACTCAGGGATAGTATACAATCATATTTAGGGGTAGAACCCAGGTATGCAACAGTTCAAAAGTGAATATAATGTGATAAAATGGAGAAATCTTAGCAATTGCTATGCAGTAAGTTTGGCTATAAAGGAAACAAGTGTAGTAAGAAGACAGTGCATGGATGAGGCAGTATTTTAAAGGTGCAACCAATTTGAGTATGTTTAGACATCCAGGGGAAAGAATTTGAAGAGACGGAGAGATGGAAACTGTAGATGAGGAAATGGAGGGAGTGAGGACTCTGAGGGGTGGGCGAGGATGAGAGCCAGAAAACAGGTAGTGAGATTATTTAAGATTGAAAAACGTTTCTCTGTTGCTTTGATTTGAAGGGTAGGGATTGAGGATCAAAACCGTTGCAGGCACGTAGGCTGGTAGGATCTGGATTGGGAGCAGGAGTGGTTGGAATTTCTTCCCAATGGTATCTATCTCTAGTGTCAGATATTTTAATGATGTGAAGAGAGAAAGCCGAGGCCCACAGCCGAAAGAGACTCAGACAGGGAAAAAGGACAGTGAAGGTGAGGATCCAGCAAAGACTGGCCACTGCAGACGTGTGATATCAGATTCTCAACACCTCCTTCAGGAAAGAATCATCTGAGGAAGTTTAACAAGTACATATTCTCAGTTTCCCACCCAAGGAATGCTGATTTAATTTCTCTGGGCAGAGCTTTATTTTGAAATAATGCATAGAATCCTTGGGTGATTCCACGTACTGCCAGAGTCCCGAGTACTGCTCTGATCCCTTTGGCTTTGTGAGTTCTGCACCAGCAGAGCTCAGCAGTCCAGGTCCGAGTTGGAGAAGGCAGATGGTTGCATTGACCGGGGTTGGAGCTTTGCTGGGCACATTCAGAGGAAGGGCGAGGGAAAGATACTGAAGGGAAAGCCCACTGAGTCTAGGCCAGGGTGACGAAAGGGAGATATGCGGTGATAAAAAGACAGAAAGAAAATAGAGTAGCTAAGGAGTGGTAAACACCTGTGGAGAGAGGAAAGGGGTGATTGAACTGGACACAATGAAGAAAGCAGCATTTCTTTCAGCTTTTTCTATGATCTAAATACACTCTTCAAAGAACATGGCCTCAAGAATATTCTTAACACATTTCAGCACAAAACTACGAAAGAAATAGAAAATAGAGTTTTTAAAGAACCAGCTATAGACTGGTACTTAAGATACAGAGGAGCAGAAAGCATAGATGTTGGGAATGAATTTTCCATTCATTTTTTTAAATTTCCATTTTTTAAAAAGAGATATGTGTAATCTCTAACTCCTCATGTATTGGTCTAAATTTATTAGTAACTAAGAATATTTAGCAACTAAGAAAGTAATTAGAATCTTCAATTTTAGTGGGTATTAGTGAGTCATAAGATTTTGAGATAATCTCTTCTCTGGAAACACAGATATGACAAATGCTTTTCTCTAAAGAAAGAATGTGATTAATGGAATTCAGAGACCCTGGCTATATTATTATTAAGCTATTAGAATGATCTTAAGTCATCTGCATGTGCTATAAGGTTTTAAATAATAGAAGCCCCAGAATGAAGTGAATGATAAGGCACCAATAGACCTCAGGACAAAACCCATTTACTCTACAGTTCTTTAAGATTCTAAAAAAAAAGGTGAACTATTCCTAAGAGATGAAGTGACATAAAGATGGAGAGAATGCAGTCCAGGCCCTCAGACCCCGCAGCAACACAAAATGAAGCCTTGATAACAGCCCAAGAGAAAGCAAGACGAGTTTAAAACACTGAGCATTATTCACTGGAAGTTCTTTTCCATTGTTCTCACTCATTAAAACGGGCCCTGTTTTGTCTTCCTCTGAGACTGTTTGAATTGTAGATTCTGGTGTCCTTTGACCTTTGTTCTCTGATAAACGTTGGGCAAAAAACACATGCCCCGTGCTACTGTGGACCTGAGATTTGAGACTCGTGATAGTTCTCGGGGCACTTCCTGCCCTGTGCTGGAAAAGGAAGACGACTGTTCGAACTGACCAGGAGGCAAAATATTTCCACGGTTAGTCATTAATTTTTACTAAGAGACATCAATGAACTGCAAGCTTTTTTAGACTGGAGGAATTTTGAAACAAATCCTGTTTACCTTCCCCATCCAGCCGCCGGGACAGAAGGAAACATCTCGTGGGCTTGGTTCCCATCAGCACACGTCCACCAGCCCGGCTTCTGGAAAGGAGCAGTGCTTCTGCATGTTCTTCCCCAAAACATGGTGCCCTGGGAACGGACTCTGAAGTACATCAGGTGACAAATTAGAGAGTGGGGTAGAGGTTTGCTTTTAACTTTTCTTCACCCTACATTTCTCTCCGGGACTCCTTTCTTCCTTCTTGCAAATGAAGGACTATAACTGTAGGCGTTTATGATTTAGAGCTCTCTTTAATTTGAACAGTTTTATAATGGTGGTAGTTTAAAATGATTGAGATTTGTACTCCTGGTTTTCTCCCCCAGCAGGCACTTTCTCGGTGTCTTGGTAAATTTATGGTGTTGCTCTCTGCTAACTGGCTGGCTTGCGTTGTGTTCACGTTACCCTGCGCACTCCTCCTCATGACTGAAATACATAAAAGCTAAAATACGGCTCGAGAAATTTCAATGGAAGAGGGTTTTTGAGCACAGAATGCGAAGTCTTTCTTGTTCTTGGGGGTCTGTTGACCTAGAAAAAACAGATCTGAGAGCAATAATGCTTCTTACTTCTAGTACTAGGCACCCAGGGGAGCTGAGCCGTGAGCTCCATGTGGGAGGAGGGCACAGGCTAGGATCCGGGCTGGTACGCCTCACTGCACCCCAGCACAGGAGGTGAGGCAATGGTGAGGTAACACAGAATGACAGGAAGTCAGACAGTGTCACCTGTGTGACTAGGTCTCTGCAGAGAAGGAAACAGAACTCTCCCTTCTATGCTCTAGTGGGTCAGACACACAGAGGAAAGGTAGGTTGGATAGATCAAATGTTACTATGCCCAAGAAGCGAACACAAAAGTAAGAGGATAGTATGTTTCATTCCTAGGTAGCTGCCAGAAACACTTTTCGGTGTAATCACCTCCTAACTCAGTCTAGGTAATTGGCAACTTTTTTCGGTTTTGCCAGAGAAAAAAATGATTTTAATAAGGAACCCAGGCAATCCAATTAAAATTTGCTATTTTTCAAATGTCCATTTCATCCTTGAACTGCTATCTTCATAAGACTTAGTTAAGTTGTTGAATCACGTGGAAGGAGGGGCGTGAACCACACAACTGTGTGCCTTGTTCATAGAGTTCTCCTGGTGCAGCCCTTGTGATGGATGGCAGGAACCAGAGGACAAATTCTGTTATTTAAGAGTGGGGACAGCTACACATCTATTAGAGCAGCTAAAGCGAAAAACAGTGACAATTCCAAATGCTGGCAAGGATGCAAAGGAAGTATGAGGGGGTGTGCCCCAAACCCCAGAATTTATTTATAAAAAATGTGTATTTATTCTCACATGTTTAAACTTCAGTCAGCTTCATAGTACTCCATTTGCTACAATATACCTATCAAGCTGTTTTTTCCACTGCTCAAAACAATTTTTGAACAATAGATTTTGATGCCTTTTAGTGCTCATGCTGGTTTTTATTTCATCTCTTCCACATCGGCAAAATGTTTCCCTTTGAGGACTTTCTCATCTGGTGGAACAAAAAAAAGTCACCTGGGGAGAGATCGGGTGAACAGGGAGGATGGGGCATGGAGGTCATGCAATTTTGGGTCAAAAACTGCCGAACACTCAGTGCAGAGTGGACAGGTGCACTCGTAAATCACCCTCCATGAAATGGGCAAGTGCATTATAAAGAGCCTTAAAAAAATTCCCTGAAGCCTGATGCAGCCTCTCACAACAATGCCAGCTGGTACACTGATACAGATGGGTTCCTAAAACACTCACCTAGTAGTACGAGCCTGTACTACAAGGGGCCCACCCTCCAGAAGATAATTCTAGGTTTGTCTGGTCCCCTGCCTGGTACATCTTGCATACATTCCTGGTGGGGATGTAAAATGTACAGCTGCTCTGGAAGTTAGTTTGGCAATTCCTTAAAAAATTAAATATGCAGGAATCATGTGATTCAGCAGTCACACTCCTGGGTATTTATTTCAGAGACATGAAAACATATATCCACACAAAGATCGATTAACACATGTTCATAGCAGTTTTATTGGTAATAGGCAAAAACTGGAAACAACCAAATGTCCTTCAATGTAAGAATAACTATTGCCCTGGCTGGCGTAGCTCAGTGGATTGAGCGCGGGCTGGGAACCAAAGTGTCCCAGGTTCGATTCCCAGCCAGGGTACATTCCTGGGTTGCAGGCCATAAACCCCAGCAACCGCACATCGATGTTTCTCTCTCTCTCTCTATCGCCCTCCCTTCCCTCTCTAAAAATAAATAAATAAAATATTAAAAAAAAAGAAAAAAAAAGTACATGACTTCTTAAAAAAAAAAGAATAACTAAACAAATTGTGGCATATCTATATGATGGAATACTACTCAGCAACAACAAGGAATGAACCATTAACACACACCACAACTTGTGTAGGTCTCAAGGGAATTCTGCTCAGTGGAAAAACCAATCTCAGAAGGTCACATACAGTATGATTCCACTTATATAACATTCTCAAAACGATGAAATGAAAGGGGATAAGAGCGAAGTGGTGATTGCCCGGTTAGAGATGGGGTGGAGTGAAGGGGGGAATGGATGTGGTTATAAAAGGGTAACACAGGGGAGGTGTTTTTGTTGTGATAGTTCTGTCCTGACTGTGGTGCTGGCCACATGGTTCTAAACACGTGATACAATTGCAGAGGCCTGTGTGCACACACACGCATGTGCACGCAGACACAACTGCTGAGCTCTGAACGAGGTATGTAAATAGTCACAGTGTCCATGTCCACTTTGAGGATGTGTTGTAGTTAATGTAAGGTGTCTCCACTGAGGAAAATTGGGTTAAAAAAACATGGAGCTACTCTAATATTTTGGGAACTTTCTGTGAACCGAGAGACCTTTTAAAATAAAAAGTTTTTAAAAATAAAGTGTATGGTGAAAATGGGGCCACCCTTTGAAAAAATGTCTGAAATATACGATCGACTTTATTTCATGGAGATAACAAAGCCAGAGTGACCACTGGTGGATATATGACGACTATAAAGATAGGAATCCTTCCTCTACATGAACTAATTGTTTTGTATGCACAGTCTATTTCATATTTCTGGAAGCTAAGTAACCTGATTCAGTGTGTTTACTAACACTTTCTTCTAATTGTGAAACATCTGTTTTTCTTAATGAAAAATGTTCCAGAAAACCAGGCAACGGCATATATTGCTGCACAGTGTCAAGATGCTATTCTCTGCTTTGTACCCTTACCACATGTCCATCCTAAAGACATGCAGCACTTGATAACAGCCACTGGGGGGCAGACTTCCACATGGCACTGACTGACCAGGTAACTTCACACCCAGCCAAGTGCAGAAGCCCAGGCCTGCAGGTTAATCAAACTCAAACCGTCCTTCCCACTTGTAAGAGCTCACCAAAGCACACAGAAATATTTAGGTTCATGGTCATTAGCTAGCTCGGAACACAAACATAACCAGGGACTGTGGGAGACACACCAGAGTAGCTTTATGTCCGTCCTGGTTAAAGGCGTCATTGTTAACAAGGCATTCAGCCAACAGCTGGTGTTTTGCCTAACTTCTGTGTAGGATGTTGTCTTCTTTCCTACAACCTGGGCAGGAGAAACCCTGCCCTGAGCCCTGCACCTGGAAGTGCCACGTTGGTCCTTGTTCTGCTGTGCCCCTCACCATGGGATGAGAATCCCCATTCTTTTTTAAGTGGCCAAAGCACCCTAGATGTTTCCCAATAGTTAAACATCACAAAGTGAAATTTTGAACAATGATGACCAGAAGATTGTTCTAAAAAAGGCCTTAGCAAAGAAGAGATATAAGTTTCCTAGGGTGATGGCTGATGGAATGAGTTTTAAAAGGGGGACTATTATGAATCCCAGGAGATAAAAGAGAGGAGAAATAAACCAGGATTTGCATTGCCAGACTCTAGAAACTGGTTTTGAATTCTTTGAGTTCGAACAATGCACCCATGCATCTGATTTCTGGGGCATGACACAAAAACGCCAATGGTTGAGCTTCTGCAACATGATGCCCCTCACCAGCAGGCTCCCTACGCCAATACTAAGCTTGAGGATCCTAAACAGATGCCAGTTCTCACCAGCCATTCCTCTGAAGATCCAGGTGGGTGAATCCCAAGGGCCCTACTGTGTCGCAGCCTTTAGAGAACCAGTCACTCAAAGACCCTCATGCAGGGAGAAGAGATTGAGTCTTTCCAGGGACTGGAGGAGGGCTTCCCAAGTGGTCAACTTCAGCAATTCGGCACGACGTGGTTGGTCAAGGGGCTTCAACGATTGCAACTCTTTCCTCTGTTTGCTAACTAGCGTTCTCCTGTGGGGCATACATGTCACAGATGTGGTTCCAGAGATTGATAGCCTCTGTTCTCCCCCTTTGACCATCTAATTTTGTTTGTACCAGGGTTTCCAAGACTCCCGCGTGTCTCCTTTGCATACTTTCATGCTGTTGCTTTGCACGGTGGGTCTCGATGTCATCACTTAGGACTGAAGAGCACGAAGCTAACAGCCCAGCACAGATTAAAAGGACTTTTCCTGAGATCATTGCCTTGGAAACCTGGGCAGCAGGATACACAGCTTGCATCAAATGGCAGTAAATACGGTCGTGCTCTGAGTGCAGCAATAACAATTAAACCCATCAGCTTTCACTGAGGTTGAGAAAACAAAAGACGTTCCAGTTTACAGTGGCCCCGTGCCAGGAGACTGCCGAGACTGGAGGGAAATCAGACGGCAGACTGAAGAATGCTATCTTCTGAGAAGAATGTGCGAATGAACATTTCAGGAACAGCGGCTTTCTCAAGGTTTCTTCCAGAGAGTTAATCAGCCAGGACTTCAGAGTGTGACTGGTCAGGTACCTATTCCCTGGCAGGTGCGAGGAAGAGGAAAACAAGATCTCCCCCGAGCCAATTTAGAGGAAATAAGATCTGAGGTTATGTGCTGGCTGCTAACTTTTCTAGTAGCCATACATTAGCTTGTTATTGATGAGGGATTGAAATATCACCTAGACCTGTGAGGCTATCAGTACAGCTAATGGAGGAGGCAAGGACAAAAGAAAAATGTTGTTCTGAAAATGAACGTAGGGTTTTCTGGCCTATTACAAGATTTAAATAGATGTTCCTTGCCGCTGGCAAAAAAATGTTAATTTGAAGTCTCAGGTCCAATGAGTTAGCATCAATCTCCTCTTCGGTCACGTCTTTTGAGCCAAGTTCCAGCTCTAAATGTTCTTTTGGAAGTTCAGGTAAAAGATGATGATTCTCAGTAACATATTTATCCAGCCAAGTTCTCAGCTGCATAAGCAGGTATGATGGAGTCAAATTCGTGTGTAGCAGGAAGAGGAAAAAGCCACTCTGTCAAAACCTACAGTGTTTGAAGTCGAACACTGAGTTGTTAGGTTTGAAAACTCATTTTTGTATTCCCCTGCCGTGAGGGAGGTCAGTGCTTCAATTTCTGGCACAGAGTCTCCCGTCTCGTGCTAACAGTCGTTCAGTGTTTTTGAGGTCGCCAGTGAGTGGCTGGGATGTGGCAACGTGGTGCAAGGTGGTGAATTCAGACTGGGGCTTTACTTCCAGAGCTACAGAGTGTAATTCCTGCTGCTGGTACTTTTAACATCATGCACGGGCTACTCAGACTTCTGATACTTAGTTCCAATCTGTAAATGGAAAGACTCATACTCATTCCGAGGGTTTTTATGAGAATTAGGGAGAACATAAGACTTGCACACAGTAGGTGTTCTGTGATGGTAGCTGCTATCCCCTGAGCACATTGAATATGCACCCTTGAAAAGTGCTCTGGCTTGAACATGTATTCTGGGAGGTTATACCAGGGAACATCTCAGGCCATGAACTGAATTTGCTGGGATTCATTTCTGAAACCTCAGAAGTGCCAGCAGTCCCATTTTTTCCCTGATGGTGTTCTCTCTGAACTCTCTTAGCCAGGAGTACGCGTTTCCTTTTCACAAGTGCTGTTTTCTCTTCAAGCAGGGACTACTTCAGAAGCATCGGGAAGCAGACAGCAAGTGGAAGCTGAAATTGAAGTCCTGGGAGATTTCTGAAAATATTACGAGCTTACAATATTCATTTATTTTTTAAATGGCACATACCTACTTATCATAGGGACTGTGGTTGGTTTTCTTATCTGCCTCTTTCTAGCATGACCCTGTCCTTCCCTCCCCCTCACTGCCATGGAAACTGATGTGACTTTGAAACGGATTTGTGCCATTTCTCTTCTGGTTCGACGTCACGCAGCCTTTGTGGAGAATTAGAGGTAACTTCAATTCACCTCTCATTCCTCACTTTTTGTCCTCCAAACTTGATAACGGCTTCCTTCCTAGGAAAGATAAAATTCCAGAGCCTCTCCTCCCATTGAACTTCATTCTCCTTTCACTTCTGAGTACTGAACCACCTCATAATTCTAATTCTTCACATGAAGTTCTCCTAGTAGACTTCCTGTCCTTTTTCAGTTGTTCTCATGGATAAGAAGATGAAATGTGAGTTGGAAGATAATATTATAAAGTCCATTTTCATCTGAATGAACAAGCCACCAAAAGAGTTCTAATTAAGGCTTCATGATCAGGCTGGGGAAAAATGGGTACATATATATATATATATATATATATATATATATATATAAATTTATATATATATAAATATATATATATATTTATTTATGGAGAGAGAGAGAGATCTTTAGTGGGGGCCACATGACTCTGGCCTTAATCTTGTCTTGTGTAGAATGTTTCAACAGACACAAAGAAGATAACACATTTTCTGATGAGCCAAAATGTGTAGAGATAATTAAAATGAAAATCGAAAGAAGAAAACGCCAAATTATTTCAACATATTAGAGTTATGGACTAATGCCAGTAGAACAGAACTTAATGGGAATGAATGCACAAATCCTGTATTTGATATTTAAAAAGACTATATTATGAGAAAGTAATAAAAAGTTTGAAAAACCCCACAGTGGTGGTGACATGGTTGCCAAAGGGACCTCGAAGCTAACGGACAGACCTCCCAGTGGCTAAAGGGGGAACAACTGGAGCAACATGATAAATACATAGCATCATGTTATAACCCAAAGTGCAGGACAAACATCCACAAGCTCATACTAATATAAATAAATGATTGCATAAGTGAATAATGACTTTTTATTATATATTGAATAATACAGAACAGAAATCTGTGTAGGAGAATTTTGAGTAACTTACGTAGACTCTCTGCCCTTGAGGAGGTGGAATGTAACTCTCGTCTCTTTAAGTGTGGTGGTGCATAGTGACTTTTTCCGAGCGTACACCAGGAAACGGAGACAGCAAAGGGTAACTTTGTGGAGGAGAAACCCGACAGCACCAGCTCAGCCAGGTGATCACGGTCAACAACAACACTGATAAATCATGCCGATGGTGTGTACCCTTGAGATTTGTGATGAGGATGTCACTTTACCTCTATGAACTTCTTCCCCAGAACATACAACACAAGTGCAGTCATGAGAAAAGCATCCCAATGGCGACAAGTAACTACCATTCCAGTACCATACAGTGCGTTTTCACCGCCCTAAAAGCCTCTCGGCCCCACCTAGTCATCTCCCCGCCATAGCCCGGGTGCTGGCAACCAGTGATCTTCCTACTGTCTCCATAGGTTTGCCTTTCCCAAAATGTCATATAGTTGCAATCATATGGCCTAGAGCCTTTTAAGGCCAGTTTCTTTCATTTAGTAATATGCATTTAAGTTTCCTCCATGTGTTTTCATGGCTTAGTAGCTCATTTGTTTCACCATTATGCATTTTTTTTGTTTTGTTGCAGCAGCTGACATTACCTTAATTATTACAGCAAACCAAATTATCACATTGGAAGGAATGGCTTATTTTTTTTATCTTTTTAAACACATAACAGTCTTTTTGAAAATCTATATAAATATCTCATAAAATATTCCTGACATTTACAGTGAAAACAATATGGTCTGTTTTTGTGTAGAATCTAATCCATGGGTCGTGATGCTTTTATTCCCATGTATTTTTCTGCTAAAGTGTTTCTCTTAGCTTTAGTTTTCACTCATCTCCATCTCACGTGCTTTTGCTATTTTTCTTTCCCACCGAATTTTAATTCCACTGAGGGAAGAGAGTGTGTAACAAGTATTGTTCCTCCAATATCCATTGTCTACTTGAACACTAGTAAGAGAGAGAGAACCCTTGATTTTGTAGCTATCTATATGACCAACCAAATTAAATACTATATTTTGCAGCATCACTTGTAGCTGGGTGTAAATGTCTGATTTGGGTAGGTTCTTACCAACTGGATATAAACAGAAGCTTGTACAACTTTCAGGAAGTATCCTCTTTCCTAATTGCTGGCGTGTGGAAGTAATTGCTTGAGCTCCAGCAGGCATTTTGGACCTGGAGGTGACCTTGGGGATGGCAGTGATGCGTGGTAGGAATACAAGATAAGAAGAGGCTCAGTTCCTGTGACTAGGGAGCACCAAGTCAGCCCTGGATGACTGCTTATGACCCCCCACCCCACAGTGGGATAGCATATTTATTTTTCTGTAACTTAATTATATCTAACATTCACATTCTTCCCAGCAGAAGAAAATTTAATTAATTCAGAGAAAGCTCAGTCAGAATAGCATGTATATTAGCCTGCTTGAAATTTTAACATAGCTCATTAAAGCAGTTTATTTTTTTCAGTCATTTTTCTATAATTTTAAATAGTTTTTAGTGCCGTGACTTTTTGCTCATTAATCTTTTCTTCTGCAGGGTAGAATCTTCTGTTAATTCTATCAGGGCATTGATTTTTTTTTAAATCGTAGATTTTTTTTTCATTTCTAGAAGCTTTATGTAGTCTTTTAAAATATTTCCTATGTCCCTACTTTATAAGCATTCTACTACTGTATTGAACATACATAGTTACAATAACTGTTCTCATGTTCTCATTTACTAATTCTGTCTTATACATAATTATGAATCTGTTTCTATTGATATTTCTCCTCATTGTGGGTCATACTGTCCTGCTGTTTTGTATGACTGGTAATTTTTTAATCAGATGACAGACACTGCAAATTTTACTAAGCACTGGATATTTTTGCAACCCTATACAATTTGTTCACTTTTCTTCCCACTCAAATGTAGTTAAGTTACTTGGAAATAGTTTGATCCTTTGGAAGCTCACTTTTAATATTTGTAAGGTGGGACCGGAGCAGTCTATAGTTTGGCCCACTCCTGAGATAATACTCTTCTGAATACTTTTACTCAATGCCCCATGAACACGCAGCTTTTTCTTTTTCCCGGACTGAACAACAATATCCCCGGCCTGGTGTAAGTTCCAGAGCGTGTTCCCCCCTCTCCTTACAGGTGGTTCTTCTGCACCCTGGGATAGTTTCCCCACATCTACGCTGAGTGACGCTCAGCCGCAGATCCGCAGGGAACCCTGTCTCAGGTTTGCCTCGTAGTTCTCACTGGTGGAGCCTCTCTGTAGTCCCGAGCCTGCCAGACTGCGGGCTCGCCCGCCTGGGTTCCCCTCCCGCGCTGAGCCCGGGCCCTCTGAGGCTGAGGGGCCTTGTTTGCTTCCCCTGCCTCGGGGATGACTGTCCTGTGTTGCCTGGTATCAGTGTCTGAAAACCATTGTTTCAAATATTGCGTTTAATTTTTCAGTTCTTTCAGGTAGAAAGGTAGACCTGCTCCCTATTACATTGTTTAGCCAGGAGCAGATCTTGTGTTCTTTTTAAATGAGAGAAAGAAATTTATCTCTCTGTATAGCTGCTCTTGACTCAATGCAAATAATGAATTTAACTAAAGAATCCTAACTAAATATGTCACTAGATTTAAGTTGGATGTCAATGGTTCTAAGTAATGTTCGGAAATCAATACATTTGATAAATGTATTTTTTTCTGGGTGAAGGAAAAGATAGTCCATCATATAGTTTTTGTGATGTTATAAGGTTATGTAGTAGCCACCAAGGAAATACATTTGAGAACTAATTAACAAAGAATCAGCTCCTCTCCCAGAGCTATAATTAGCTCTTCAGTAGTTAATAGGTTTAATTAGTGACCTGCTTCTTAGATATTAACTCTCAAACTCTAGCTACCCACAAACACCCAGAGGAAAAAGCAGGATTGTTTCTCCAACCACATGGGGAACTTTCTGAACATACAAGCAGAGAGGATGCACCCCATCCAGGCTCCCCAGTCTTACTATTTCGCCCTAAGTTCCGTCTTTACCATTCTGCAGGCAGTTACGCAGGGCGTTTTGTCTTTAACGTGTTCTGTTTTCACATCTTTTTTGCTCATGGTAGTCCAGGTTTCAAAGATGATGTAATAAAATGAGCACCGAACTCAGGTCAGATCAGAGTACCCCGGCCACGTGGTCACCGCACATTACTTCATCACTCAGTTTCACTCATTACTGATCAGTTGGTCTTAGTTTCTTTCATCTGTAAAATGGAATATTACCTGCACCACAGAGTTGTTGGAAGAACCAAATGGGGTAATTTAGTGCATGCTTCTGCATGCACTGCAGAAGTGTGTCACCGAATACGTGGGTTAAATAAATATTGAGGGATTTTTTAAAATTCAACATTCTTCTTTCTATTTTACCCTCTGTTTTTGGAAAGGAACAATCCTAATAAAATATTCAAAGTGAAGAAAAATTAATAAGGGTCATCTTAGTACTTGAAGTGAGTCTTATTTATAAGGATGCTCTAAATGCATTTTCATCACTATCCACCTTTGTTCTCAAATGCAGACATCACTCGACTAAAACTATGAGATAAAATAATCAATAGAAAATGCCAACGCAGGAAGTAAGAACTGTGGCCTCTGAAATAAGCATGCCAATGTCTAAGAAGTCACTTTAGAGACACTTCTGGCTTCTAGTAAATCTCTATCTAGTACTGACATTGGCTTGCATTTTATGCAGGACATAATGGGAGGTCATTTGAGTTGTCTCAAAGCATCCAAGAAGTTTTATTGCTGTTCTCAGAGCAGAGCCAAGGACTTAATCCTTATCTATAAAATGAAGACATTTGATGAGATAACTTCCAGCTGTAAAAATTGCATGGTTAGCTAATTATTTCTTATAGAGGCCTCACCCTTTAAAGATATCTCACATGAATCAATTTACATCAATTCAACCCATAAAGGAAAAGTGTGTTTTTATTATCTTGGCTTGCACATAGTCGATGGCAACACAACAACAACAACAACGATGACAATGACCACAATTGATAAAGATGTTTTATCCCGGAGAGAATTTTAAAATTTAAAGAGCAAATAGCTTCCCCAGTATGAACTATAGTTATGAGATACAGAGAGGGGGAATAAAAAAAATAGGAGAGAAGACTCAGAGTTTTCTTCCACCATTATTTAGCACCATCTTCTTTCTGCTGGCAATGACAAATGTAATACTTTTTTTTCCATCTCGGGACAGCCCTTTTTGTCAGGCGAGAGCTAGCCCCTTATCTTTGGGCTGGGTTTTCCCCAGTGCTGAGCATGTCCATCCAATGTGCTCCATTAAGGGGAGGAGAAAGAAGAACAGGTAAAGAATCTGTCCCCGTGTTCTAACACCACTTTCAGCATTTCTTTAGCAGCGTG